TACTCCAAAGAGAACATCAAAACATTGTGTGATTTAGTGGAAAATTTTTGATATTTTTTTAGAAAAAAAATTTGTAACTTTTTGAAATCGTATTTCCATATTTATCATATTTCACTATATATATTTTTCAACTTAAAAATTTAGCTAAATATAGTCAATTCATGTAGGAGGAAAATATCATGTTTTCAATACACGTCTGTAATATGATCTTTCACTTGGTCAACGTGCAATTGCGTAACTCAACAATTGTTGTAGTCACGGTTGAATATACAACACTATATATACGGTTAGCAATCCTAGCACATCCTACGTTTGTTAGTATGAAAATTACTTAGTTTGTTCGTACGTTATTAAACTGAGTGGTATCAACTACGGACCACTACGCTTGGCACTCTGATTGTATAATTCAGTACGCTACGCCTATGGGCTATGGCTATGGTATTTAATAATAAAATTGCCGTAGCGTTTAAAGTAAATATAGTGTATTAAAATACGGCCAAATATCTACATAAATAACAGTCATAAACTTTGTAAATCTAAATTGGTAGCTATATCATTTTTAAACTCCATATAAGCGCTCGTGTTTCATGCAATGCATAAAGCAGATGAACTGGCAAATAATACGTTCATACTTTTATGAATACGACACAAAATACACAATCGATTCTGTTGACATGCATTTGAGCATTTCGTGAGCTAAAATATCTTAGCAAAAGCCAGAAATTATATCCAAATCACAATGGGCTTCCACGCTGGTTGATTTCCATATTCATCACTTGAGTAATCTTGACAGAGTTAGTAAAAATAGGTACGCGACGCGTACATGTATCTGCGAAAAAACAGAGCGAAAAAACTTGATTCACATTTTGTATTTTCTTGAAAGAACTGAATAATGAAGATGACATGGGACAATTGAAATATTTCATCACTTATTATAATAGCAGATAAGATTTAAAACAGGGCTGTACACAGCGGGGAGTGCAGCAGGGCAAGTGCCCCCCCCCCACCCCCGCACCAAGAAAATTTAACTAACTTTATAATGTGATTATGATTGTAACAGATAATTATGCAGTCAGGAAATAAAAATTTCATGCAAACAATATTCAAAGTGTCTATACAGCCGGCTATTTAGTAATCTGTCACCTGTCAATTCAATCCATACTCATCAAATTTTCAAAACTTTATTGTAATCATATGAAGCAAAAGTTATGTCACCTGTTGTTTACACTTGCCAATGTTAACTGTTGAGTAACATACACAAAATATTTGGTGAACATGTCGAAGACCACTGAATAATTGAGAATGTTTTGAAGGTCATGAGTAAAGTATATAATTAAATTCCAGTTCTGTGCACAGTTAATGATATACCACACTGTTCGGTTTAACACGTACAGCACATTCACACAAAAACAATTGTGTTGTGGGAGATTATCGGTTTGAGTAGAAGGTATCACAAGTTTAGTTTTGTACATTGTGTGCCATTGATCAAATCCACCATATAATATATGATTATTCATTGTAGCTGTTAAGTTACTTCCATACTAATGAATTTAGGTAAGATTGTCTTGCAAGTTGGTTGTTCTGACAAAATTATCCAGCCAATATCCAGTACGTTTATTTTATTCTTCATTCTTGTATTAATCTCTAAAGAAAAATATTTATGTTAGAAAGCAAAATGACAATGTAATGATGCTCGGGAGGGTGAGGATTCTTTTATTTGAAAATGTTTGTAAAAATTTTGTTTAATTAACTCTAATGTGTAAAACCAAAATGTATAAGTATTTTAACTGATAACATCTTCAACCTTTGCTCTAACACTACATTTGATGACAGCTTTATAGTTGGATCGACTGTTGTTACGGAGTCAATATACAGAAATACAGGACCAGGATTTAATTCAATATCTCCTGAGAACTGTTCAGTAGGTTCCTTTGATATTGTTAATTGGCAATATTATTGCCTATGTTTTCACTGTTTAAAATATTACAGAAGTCACAGAAGGATTGTTTTTAATACTGTATAATACTGTATAAGTCTTAAAATATCCTCGAAAATATCCAATATTTTATACAGTGTATTATATATTAATAAAAACATTCCAGAGTGCATTCCATGTAAACTTTTCGCCGAAGATACGGCAATATCAATTCTTTATTCTGTGGCAATATTAACTATAGATAGTATAGTAAATATTTGCTGAACTGGCGAACTCATGTATTATTAAATATGTGGGACATATAAAAAATTTCCAGAGTGCATTCCATGTAAACTCTACGCCGAAGAAACGGCAATATAAATTCTTTATTCTGTGGCAATATTAACTATAGATAGTATAGTAAATATTTGCCGAACTGGCGAACTCATGTATTATTAAATATGTGCGACATATATTTGCACAAATTTGGTATTTTAATATATAATATGTGGTATTTGACTACTTACCAGATGAGGATAAGATTCCATGTTGATAAATAACTTCAATTCAAGATAAATTGATAAAAATATCAAGATATTTTTGAAAGAATAACACGATTTATACACGAGGCCTGACGAGGCTAAAGTATGCCCGTTCGCAGGTTAGATGCGGGCACGATGTAAACAATTGATGTAAACGAATCGCTGATTGGCTTGAATTATATAAGATTGGCTTAAATTATATAAGCTCGTCGCTGAATGGCTATGTGTTAACATACGGTACGGTAACAGTACGGTCACGTTTGCGATAGCATATATATCTGCTTCGCAGATACAAAAAGAGCTTGTAAATCGATAGCCCGCGTGGAGTCTTTAAGGGGATGGACAATTACTTTCCTCAATTTTCCTCCCCCGTAGAGACTGTACGCAGGCTAGTAAATCGATCTTTCAAAACGTTTAGTCTATCATGTTGCGACTTCAGCATGGCTTCGTGTAGCTTTTCCAGGCTGGTAGACAGTTCTTGTGGGATAAGTCGTTACCGTACCCAAAGCAAACAAAGCGTGATCCTTTCAAGCTTTACAAAGAACATCAAGGGACATTTGAAGAGTTTAAATACTCACGACTCTCAGTTACAAAACGAGGCAATACTTATCCTTGCATGCGCAGATATGTTTTAATTGTTGTTATTACAATCCTATTATGACTTGCCAGGGGTAGTGGTTAGTGAAACAGGTCGTGAATAGCAACAAATTCCGATGCCAAACATTCAGAAGTACCATTTACCTGCCGGTTATTTATATAGGAACGTGAATTCACTCGTCGTAATGAAGGTCGGACTTTATTAAGAGCATGCATGCTAGCTGTATACATATAGTCTATAGAGTTTCAAATTACAACAAGACTAAAATCCTATTTTGTAACAATGTTCCTTCACAGTTTACCCGGTCCCGATGATTATCAAGTATATTTCAGTAATTCCACTCGAAACCACAGAGGAAAGCCCGCGCCGCCATATTATTTGTTTTGATTTTTTAAAAGGCAAAAGTTAAGAAGCCAACATTATGGCAAATTTGAAGTAAATTTTTCTATAGATAGGCGAAATGAGTTTTCATATTCGTCGTAGTTTAATTTTTTTGTAGCAACAAAATATGTAAACAAACGAAGCAAATAATTTGCTATAAAAGTGTCCGAAATATGTGAACGGACACTTTTATAGCAAATTATTTGCTTCGTTACGGACACTTTTATAGCAAATTATTTGCTTCGTTTGTTTACATATTTTGTTGCTACAAAAAAATTAAACTACGACGAATATGAAAACTCATTTCCCCTATCTATAGAAAAATTTACTTCAAATTTGCCATAATGCTGGCTTCTTAACTTTTGCCTTTTAAAAAATCAAAACAAATAATATGGCGGCGCGGGCTTTCCTCTGTGGTTTCGAGTGGAATTACTGAAATATACTTGATAATCATCGCGACCGGGTAAACTGTAAAGGAACAAAATAGGATTCTAGTCTTGTTGTAATTTGAAACTCTATAGACTATTTGTATACAGCTAGCATGCGTGCTCTTAATAAAGTGCGGCCTTCATTACGACGAGTGAATTCACGTTCCTATATAAATAACCGGCAAGTAATTGGTACTTCTGAATGTTTGGCATCGGAATTTGTTGCTATTCACGACCTGTGTCACTAACCACTACCCCTGGCAAGCTATAATAGGATTGTAATAACAATAATTAAAACATACCTGCGCATGCAAGGATAAGTATTGCCTCGTTTTGTAACTGAGAGTCGTGACTTTAAACTCTTCAAATGTCCCTTGATGTTCTTTGTAAAGCTTGAAAGGATCACGCTTTGTTTGCTTTGGGTACGGTAACGACTTATCCCACAAGAACTGTCTACCAGCCTGGAAAAGCTACACGAAGCCATGCTGAAGTCGCAACATGATAGACTAAACGTTTTGAAAGATCGATTTACTAGCCTGCGTGCAGTCTCTACGGGGGAGGAAAATTAAGGAAAGTAATTGTCCATCCCCCTTAAAGACTCCACGCGGGCTATCGATTTACAAGCTCTTTTTTAAAACATGTTATGATTGTTATCTGACACCGGGCGGCTTTCCATGTGAAAATATAGTCAATTTTGCAATAATAGACATTTATTTCAAGTGAAATGTCAATAAATATAATTTCTGATGATTTTTTAAATAATCAAAATTCGACTTGGCGATTGTTACATAACGTCATTTTTGACATTTGTTGTAGAAATGTCAAGGGCTCTAAAATTTGATTTTATCAGTAGCCCAAAAATTTTATTACAGTTTCTCAAAGAGGAAACGTTGCTGTTTAATCTTGTTAAAATCTTATTGCCTCAAGGCATGTAGCAATATGCGTTTTTCGGTGTTGAAATAAAGCAATATTTTCATATATGAAAAATCACCCAAGTTTAAAACTTCCGAAAATATCGGAATTCCAGTCAGTGTCCGAATATAAAACGGGAAATTGTCGAGAAATGTCTGTTATTTCGTAATATTATTGTAGTTATTGAAATACCTCAACGCTAAATTTTTTAACGATTTTTTTTTATGAGGTGCGGTGAATGGGCCTTGAAATTAGCTTGTGAAAAGAGAAAATCGGCCCGTTCTCCTGAAATAAGAACCTGATGAAGTTTTTAGTATTTTTTCCTTGAATAGTTCATCTAGGCGTACATTAGAGCCAAAAAAGAAAAATTTCAATTTTTTCTATATTGCACACCTTTGGTCGATTTTTACAGACGGCCGCTCTTAATATATATATATATATATATATATATATATATATATATAAATATATATATATATATATATATATATATATATATATATATATATATATATATATATATATATATATATATATATATATATATATATATATATATATATATATACTATATATATATATATATATATATATATATATATATATATATATATATATATATATATATATATATATATATATATATATATATATATATATAGAATGGGAGAGGAATTTATACGATCACTCAAGGTGAGAATATCTGAAAATAGTGGTGGTGATGATGGTAACAGTGATGGTGGTGGTGGTGGTATGATGGTATGATGTTGGTGGTGGTAATGATGGTAGTCGTAACTATGATGGTGGTGGTGGTGATGATGGTGGCGGTGATGATGGTGTATGTGGTGATGATGGTGGTGGTGATGATGGTGGTGGTGGTGATGATGGTGGTGGTGATGATGGTGGTGGTGATGATGGTGGTGGTGATGATGGTGGCGGTGATGATGGTGTATGTGGTGGTGATGATGGTGGTGGTGATGATGATGGTGGTGATGATTATGATGGCGGTGATGATGGTGGTGGTGATGATGGTGGTGGTGATGATGGTGATGATGATGATGGTGGTGATGATGGTGGTGGTTGTGGTGACGATGATGGTGGTGGTGATAATGATGGTGATGATGGTGGATGTGTTGTTGTTGATGATGGTAATTATGATGGTTTTGTTTCCTCATTGACTTGTGTTTTTCCTCCGTCTTTTCCTCGTTCAAGAAGCACAACGTGAATCAATCGAGTTGCAAAGCAACATCAATGGCATGGAGGATGAAAAGGAACGACTGTTGAACAGTTTAGTCGAAGCAGTGTAAGTTCATGATTAACGTTCTTGCCCGCCGTTGAATGTACATGGATGAAGATCTTCACTAAATGGAATGATATTATGTTTTCTTAGGAGACAGATCATACATTGGGAAAAGAAAACGCAGCTAGCACGTGAAGCAAGATCGACTGTGGATGACGATTATGGTCCTGGCCAAAAACAATGAAATCAGAAATAGATCGGATGCAGGTATAAACATATAAATGGTACAGGGGTACATTTTCCATGCTTAATTGGGATTTCACTAAGCACTATCATGCAACAGATGGTGGACAACCTCCAGTTATATGTAGAACGAGAGAATTTGTAGTAGTCTTATATATTATGACAAACACAAGACAATTTTAAGGATTTTGATATTTCGAAACACCATGAAATACCATCTTTCAACGACCTGCTCATTGCTGGAAAATGTCCTGCAGCGCCAGAAATACCGCTGCCAGGAAATTCTTAACATTATTTCTCGCAGGAATTTTTCTTGCATCTTGCAGGAAATTTTTGTCATCCCATATTGCCATATCATTTACTTTTTGTTTAAAAAAGCGTTTTGCTAGTCGAGATTGTCTTGTACTGAGATTCAAGTTTATCACATTGTGCGTTTGTCACAATCTGGTTACCATACGTCACACATATGCAGAAAGTTTTAGATTTTACATACACAGGAAATTTATATTTTGAGGTTTTGCTGCCTGGAGGGAAATATATTTACTAGGCCTGGACCTGCTCCCAACTTGACCTGTAGCTCATTTGGTAGAGCATCGGACTAGTAAACCCAAGGTCGTGGGTTCGAATCCCAGCCGGGCCAAGGAGAGTTTTCTCTACTTGTCCGGTATTGTTCGTCACTCAGAGTAGCTCCTAATATCATCATTACAATCTACCCGAGTTCACTCTCCCACAACAATTTGAGAGATTAGTTTTGTTTTACGTGCTCTTTTTAAACGTCGCCATTTCTGAAGTTGACCACCGTCAGCTGCCCCTTGACACCCAACAATCCAATGAATATGTTACCAATCCATTGAGTCAATAATTATTCAAATTATTTGTAGGTTAGGTGCGATACGCTCAATTGATGAAAGAACAATATATATATATATATATATATATATATATATATATATATATATATATATATATATATATATATATATATATATATATATATATATATATATA